TCTGGAGACGGGAGCCTGGCTCATGTCCGGCTAGCGGCGGTTTTACACGCCACTCTGTGGTCGAGCCGAAGGCCGGCGAATCAACCAGTTCACCGGGGACATTCTTGCTCACGGCAACTCTGCCTTAGCAAGGCAACCGCGAAAGGTGTGTCGCTCTTTTTTATTTTTTTTCCAAAGTTTTCTTAACCGCTCGAACGACTCTGACGCTCGGCAAGTGGGGACACGAAACAGAGGAACAGGACTCTCCACGTAGCCGGTGTTTTTTTTTTTGTTGTTGTTGTTTTTTTTCTTTTACCGCTGGGGGAAGCTGTGGCATTTGCAGGAATCCTTAGGAATCACAATGAGACACTCCAAGCTTGGAACAAACAAAAGTGCAAACAAATGCACAAACAAAAGCAGAAACAAAAGCACAAACAAAAGTACAAACAAAAGCACAAACAAAAGCGCAAATGAAAGCTTATCACTCCTGCTTCATGGCCTTTATCTGCTGCTTGATGGGGTGCTCAATCTGGGCAGCAAAGTCTTAGCCAGGGCACCGGTTGAGGAACAGAGGAGGCCATGATGGATGGGAATATAGTTTGTTTGCCTTCTTTGTTCTTCCATTTTCCCTCAGGTTTTTTTTCCCACGTGCCTGGCATTCGGGATCTGCAGGATACTATGCTTCCCAACAACACTGTCCAGTTCCCTCTATAAAAACCACAGCCCCACCCCGTGTGGGAACTGGTGCTTATCAGCCTTATCAAAAAAGCGAGAGCTGTCCGTCAAAGTCAAACACTGGTTAAAGTCAACAGGTACTAATTTATGTGCCGTGGGACAGATTCGGTCAGGGTGTAATGGGGGTGCGTAAATCACTGTGTGGGAAGTGACTGGTGCATTGTAAAGAGAAGATACACTAAAGCCATTTCCCTCCATAAGTTTCCACATATTACATTCACATAGCTATATAACAATTATAATATAATAATGCATATACTAGCTGAAGGTGATATTAACATGCAATTCTGACATGGTCAAACATTAAAATAACTTCTGCTTACTTTAATTACTATGCTTAATCATTATAGCGAGTAATTTAATGGTGCTTAAACCAGCGTAAAAGAGTATAAAACAATGTTTTTCAAAGTCTTTTTTCACACATAAATGCAGCTTATTTGTCATCTAAGACACTTCATCCAGCTTCATCAGCAATGTTCTGAATCTAACTGTCCCACTACTTTCCTTTTAGGGCAATTTTCTCCACCTACAGTTTTATTTTTGTCTTTAAAGACCGTCCTCTCGCCACCACAGACTTCTGATCAGTCTCCACATGCACGTAAAAACACGCACTCGTGCACATGTGTACAACTCCCTCCTGGAACCGTTGGTGAAAGCTTTAATCCACTCAGAAGCTATGAGGCCCTTAAGCATTTCGGGAGGCTGTGATCCTGTCGCTACACGTTGGGTACGGCCCACTGGAGTCGCCCGAGAAGGCGGTCTTCATTTGCAGGCAATGACCACAGCATCCCCTTCAGCATTCCACCACCTCCTCCACATTCCACACTAACACGCTTTTAGGGAAAAATGTCTGTCCTTCTGTCTGCGTGACACCCAGCCTGAGGTCACCTGCCTTGTGACTTAAACTTAAACACGCACACGCGCACGCACGAGCTACCTGCGAAACTGGAAAGTTTATTGGCAGAAACGTGCTGAAATGTGTCTATATTCAAACAGGTCTTTAATCCCGATAAGGATCTTGACTGTTTTCCTCTGGTTTTCTCTTAAAGTCAACTGAACTTGTGACAATAAGCTACAGGGATTTTTAGTTACTTCTCCTTAGTCTCTTATAATTTTTATAAAAACAAAAGGAAAGAAATAACCAGCACGTATCTCTCGTTAGAGGGGTAAAGGGTACATTTTACTGTAATCCTTTAAAGTGTGGGGGGACGTCAACACAGCCAGGAAGCAGCGCAACCTTTCAGTCCACTGGACAATTTCTCCAATTATCTTACAACCTTCCGGAAACACAAAGCCAGAGATTTGCCAGCTGTGACGCTGGGCCCTTGCCATCTCGCTCCCCCGCCCCATCCCCCCTGCGATCTGCATGGTACTGACCGATATCCAAGCCGCCCACCTCGAAGGGTCAGGGCCAACCGGGACAGCCAATCAGAGAGTGGCAGCCATCACTGTCGCTTCATCAGTCTGACTGACCTTCTCGGGGGTCTGTCAGTGACAAACTGACATCGGTCAATGAGGACTAATGACTGACTGTCGATCTGATCAATTTGGGCTAAAAACAACTTATAGGTCAGCCTGTTTTTCCAGCACCCCCCCTACCCCCCCCCCCACCCCCACCTCCTCGAGACACACTACATGCACGGTACATTTAATACCAGATATCTTGTTCCACAAACATCTGATTTATCACACGGGACAATGTTTCAGACAAGAGAAAATCTTTCCTCAGACTTTTGCTACAAAATTCGCCACTGGAGCAAGAAGCTTAAAGTAGCTGTAGAGCTCATCTTTCACCTCCGTCACAAGCCCGAGGCCCGGAGCAGCGGGAGAGCGGGGCAGGGATACCGGCCCACCGCCCCACACTCACCAGGGCTGTTTGACTTGGCCTGCGGACGGCAGTTCACAAACAGCCCGGGTAATTGGTGAAACATATCTATCTTTTTATTATTTTTTTTGCTCTTTTTCGGTCCAACAGCACACGTAAATACATATTTCACATTTTCTCTCCTTGATATCTTTTGTTTTTCTTGCCAGTCTTGCTGAACAGGGTTACCCCCTCTAATCAGCACAGTGTAAGCTGCAGCACAGGGGCCACAAGCTCGTGTAATGATTTGTTTTGTTTTGCTCTCCAAAGCGCACCGCTCGCGATAATTACCAAGGCGAGCGCCGAGGCCGCAAACGCGGCCGGCGTCCCTGCTCCGCTTTGGCTGAAGCCGCCGCAGATGCAAGCCCACCGCGACAGGCGGGAGAAAAATTAGTGCATTTCCGCTGCCGAAACGGACGGACAAAATCCCATGATATCTGACATCAGACATCCCAGACTGGGGGAGGTGCGGGTTTGCAGAGTTGGTGAAAAACTCATATATATTCATATAAATGTGTGTGTGTGTGTGTGTGTGTGTGTGTGTGTGTATCTAAGATGGCAAAAGAGCAGATGAATGACAGCAAAATACAGTGTCCACAATGAAATGAAATGGGGACAAGCACAGTGAACAGTGAGAGAGGGAGAGAAAGAGAGGAGCTCAGTGAGGGGGGAGAAAAAGTGAGAGAAAACAGAGTGAGAAAGAGTACGGTAAGAGAGGGAGAGAGAGAGTGAGAGAGGGAAAGAAAGAAAGCAGTGAGAGGTAAAATATTGACAGAGGACGGTAAGATGGGAGAGAAGGAGAGATATAAAAAGAGTGGGATCACAATGAAAAAAATAGTTAAAGTAAGGGGGGGGGGGGAGAAGAAGCACAGTGAGGGAGGGGGGAGCAGGGCTGCTCCAGCACAGTAAAGCTCCCTGCGGCCTGGAATGCAGTGTGGCTTCCCTCGCCTCTCCCGGACCTGGCAGCTGGGGACAGCAGAGACGGACAGCCCCGCGAGGGGGCCACCAGCGTTCAGGAGAGTCAGCAGGAGCGAGTACCCCCCCCCCACGTACCCCCCACCCGCGGCCTGGACACGCTCGAGCAGAGCAGGACAGCCATATTTATTAGGTGTGCTTGGCTAGGCAGTGGAGAGACCGGCTACAGTATCAGAAGTAAGGACAGCAAGAAGGAGGGAAGACAGAGAGAGAGAGAGAGAGCAGGGGAGGGTGGGAGGGATGGGAAAAGGGCAGCAATGTCGGAAAGGAGCAGGTACAGCATTCCGAATGGGAATAACTCAGCGAGACTGAGGAAGATCGTAGGCCGACAGTAAGCCTGTAATTCCACCTGGCTTTCTGACTCTCATCATTGATCACTAAAAAATATCTATATCATGTGATTATAGATTGGTATAATATTATATACTGTACATAAACACAAGTGAAGTATATTTTGACATTGAGAATCACATCTGGACTTTTATCCAATGAGAATTTGCAGCATCCTCTTACGTGCCCACAAACACTCATCCTCAGTACACACACTTGCTGTGCCCCCCCCCCGGGCCACAAAAAGACGCTGTCTCAGAACCGCACCACGGCACACCTCCCACCGCCCCCCCAGAGTGGGTCTGACCCACCGGGGGGAGAAAGGCGGCCATGCCGACAGCAGGGCGGCGCTCTGAGTCGCGGCGGTAATTAGAAATACTTGAAAAATGAAGTGTCAGTTCGGTCAATAAAGAGCAAAGGTCAGGCCCGGCCTAGACCTGAGAAGAAGAAAAAACGCACAGAAAATGGGCTCATTAAGACGTCCAATGAGAGGCGAGCTCCTCCTTCCAGCCATTAGCGGGGCTGGGAGGGACATGTTGCTGCTCTCCCTCACCGTGTGTAAATCGCTGCTCACTCAGCCAGAGCATAATGTGCTTCTTTCTGCTCTCCTACAGCCGGCTGCTGGCAGCCGGGTCCCGCGCCTCTGCCACCCCGACACCCCCATCAATAATAGATGAGGCAGCTCTCTGCTGCCGCTTTCTCCGGGGCCGTTCGGCGAAACGGAAAACGGCGCTCATAACACACGCGAAAGAGGCCCGGCTACAGACGCGCGCAGCAGATGCAAAACTTGCCGTTCCCCAGTCGCGTCGCATGCCGAAAAATCACACGTCGCACGACATAAAAGCGGGATCTTACCCAATTTCCTTGATCGTAGGATTTCTGTTTTCGCCTGACGTTCTCAAGCCCCGTGATTAAAAAAGGAAACTGAATCCGGGGCCTGGTACAGGTTCGACAGGTTCCGCGAATTCAAGGGCATCTTCACTATGCTGTCTGTCGCTGCCAGGGGCCCGAGCCTCTGCTCGCACGGCGACGGACAGAAAATTGCGGCCTAGAGCAGCTTTATCGCTGACGATTTACAGCCCCCCCCAGCTCCCCCTGGCAGAGCATGGCTCCTTACCTTGCTCGCTGCTGTTGTCCCCGCTGTGAGACGTGTGTCCCCCGCTGGACGGACCCGGCGTGCCTCCTGAACGTATGGACGCTGTGTCGTCATGGTCTCTGTTCCACGAGGTCTGAGGGGAGGGAATGCAGGAGGTCAGGCACGCTCGCATGCGGTCGGACGCGGTCGCATGCGGTCGGACGCGGTCGCATGCGTTGAGCCCCTCAGCCGCAGGACCATGGGTCTAGCTCTGGCTCACGGTAAAGAACACCTTCCTGACTCCCCCACCCCACCGCCGCATGCTGCCTCACCCCAACAAAAACTCGCCCTCTTCCATCCGCCCACAACATCCCGGGAAGGGCCCTCGCATCTCGGCTTTCGATTTGCGGAAGAGTCCCCGGCCCCTGCATAAAGGAACCCCCACCCAAAGCTTGCTTTTGACCAGAGAGCGAGAGAAGGAGAATTCAGCCAATGACATTACCAGGGAAAAGCAAGCCATGGTGCGGGGGTACAGCGTGATGTCACAGTGAGAGCGATGCTGTAAGCGGCAAGGAGCGATGTGGCTGCTGGTCGCTCTGCCCGTGCCTTTATAGCCCTGAGGAGTGCGGGCGGTGGGCCGGCCGGACCTTGCGCCTCTCCGGTGAATCAAACAAGAAGGGGATTAAAAAAAGAGGAGGAGCGCCGTTCCCATTGACGATGGAGTTGAGGGCCTGTAGTGGCCCTACAGTGTCAGCTGTTTGCCGAATGGTTTGCGGCAAATGCAGAAGACATGAGGATAATGAGCAGAGTGCCGAACAATGCCCCCCCGGCCGGCCCCGGCACTCAGCCGTGCGCGGCGCTCCCCCCCCCCCACCATTCAGCGCCAAACAGATGTTGCCTCTTATCACCGCCAAAGAGGAGTGCGGCAAATTCACGGCCGTGGGCACGTTGCCGCCTTCGGAGTGATCGCACGCGTGTGTGTGTGTATGTGCACACGCCAGGCCTTTTGTGTGGGTTTTTGATCGTGTGTGTGTGCGTGGGGGGGGGGGGGGATAAGGGGGTGTTTGTGTTTGTTTTTCGTCTCAGTAGCGCTAACTGAAACATGGACAGAGGTAGAGCCTCACTGCCGGCTGAGGAAATGCCAAAAACTCAAATTTGCTCCAAATCGGCCACTTCTGCACAGAGTTTCTTTAAATGTCTGCCAGTCAATTCAATGAGAAATACGCAACACAATTAAGGACGCGCAGGACCTGCGGTCCGATAATCACATGGGGACGAGGCCTGGACACTTCATCCAGAGCCCATCTCCATGCTGCGCTGAGCTGCAGAGTGACTCCCCCCCCCCACACCCGCCCCCAGATAAACGCTTCACAAACAAACACGAAGACAAACAGTAAATATGTATCACTGTGCCGACATTCCAGGCGAGCGGCGTCATGCGGCGTCATGCGGCGTCATGCGGCGCACAGCGTGCTGGGGGCAGCAAATGGTTAAAGTCTGGCTGCCAGTTTCTATAACTCGCTGAGAAAAACGGGGAGGTATGGGTGGGGGGGGGGACTGTTTATTCTGAGCTTTGTTAAAAAAGAACGGTACAGCACCCCAGAGACACAGCACGGCAGGCCCCAGAAGCCGACGCGCTAAGGGACGTCCTCTTTTTTCTCTTCCCCGCCATTCTCCCCCTACGTGACAAAGATCCCACTTGAAAATACAATTAGACAGAGAAAACGGCAAACTACTGCATGAACTGTAATTGAACAAAAGGCGGGCGAGGCACGCGGGAAGGTACCGGCCGGGGCCCCCGGGGGCCCGAGGGGCCCGGGGCGGGCCCCGCCATCCAGAGAGTGACATCTCCAGGGTGCACTCAGTCTATTTATAATACCCCCAACACTTTGGCTGAGCACTGATCCGGCTCAAAATTAATAGAAAACAGCCTGACGGGCCGATGCCAAATCTCAGGCGCTCGCCACCGCGCGCGCGTGTGTGTGTGTGTGTATATATGTATATATATAATGTGAGATATCCATAAATATAAAAGAAGACAGGTTAGGTGGTGGCACAGAAAGAGACTGTGAGAGTTTTATACATATACGGACATATATTGATACGTGTGTTTAGTTGTTTTGGGGGGGTTGGGGTGTTAAAGATTGCAGTTGAATGGTGTTCCTATACACGTCTGATACATTCACTGTCCCCCTAATGAGCTGCTTTGGATGTAGTTCACCCCCCGCCCCCTCTCCTTCACCCCCCCCCACTTCGATGCCCCCCCCCCCCGGGTTCAGGATGAAGATTGATTCACCGCTTAATTGTTGAGTAAATTCAATTTCCCACATTCTGTTCTGTGCGGGTTTCGTTGTTTTTTGTTTCTTCTTCCAAAAGTCCAAATATGCAGCGGCGGGTCGATGCTCGGGGGGTGGGGGGACGGGGGGGGGCGGTGCGTTTGCCATCAACACCTAACCTTCCCTTTTTCATTTACATTTTCCTCCCACCACTTAATTTGCCGTGACGAGATTTTCCTTGCTGGAAATTCTGATTCCGAGGCATTCCGATTCAGCGCGTCCTCATTGTGGCGGCTCTTAGCGTAGATGAGGGGCCTTTTTTGGCAGAAGTAGCACACTCTGCCCCCCCCCACCCCGTATTAAACAGCCACTCATGCAAGAAATGCTGCACCGCCGATTCACTCCTAATAGCAACAGGAATGGTGTCTGCATGCTGGACGTTACTCTTTGCTTTGAAGACCCTTCATGGACGAAGTACATCAATCGTGCAACACACACAGTCACGCACACGTGTGTGTGTGTGTGTGTGTGTGTGTGCGTGTGCCAGCAGGTCATGTTAAATTAAAAACTGTGCCCCCTCTGTGATTGTAGACCTGCTAAATATGGCTTGGGTCTGAGGCCTACACACACACACACACACACACACACAGCCTGTCCCGCTCCCTTGGTCTAAGCTCTTGTTTATTTTGTCCTCTCCACCACCAAGACGAGGGAGGGCGGGCAAGCCACTCTTATCCACACTGACAGGAACCCCAGCAGCCGTTACTGGACACAGTGAGAGCTAAATATTGGGGGAGGTCACGTGATCATAATACTCAGCCCCAACAGCAGCCATGTCATGCTGAGTCTTGCAGGCCCCCCTAAACAGAATGACCCTTAACAATCAGGCGTGAGTTTAGACGGCCGTCTCGGGCTGAAGGACCCAAACCTTCTCAGCCCTCCATCGAATGCCACTTGTTGCTAATCCCAACATTTAAAAGTCTGTTCATGCTGTTTCATTTACTCAGACATTTCAATATTTTGTAGCAGGTTATGAATATTAAAAAAAAACTATAGTAAATCAATACTGCTGTACAACATATAATGCACTGTCTTTTGTACATTTTTATACAGATATCTAGGTACGTAGTTTATTAAAATGTCTTGTAAGGACATGGAACCAGTGAGATGTGTCATTATTCTGCAGAGATCTCACATTCAAATAAGTTTTTCGTTTTCTGAAATCAACATTTTTTTTCCCCCTCCCACGTTACTGAGTGTGCTCCGCTTTTCCTTGGATTATTAGGCAGGGAGAAAAGCTCTCCTGCATTGTCAACAAGTTGTAATCCTTCGTGAAATTTGCGCAAGCGTGCACATTCTTTAACATTAGAACGCAGGAACCTCATGGTCCTTTTGTTTAAGCCGGATCAGTGTTCCCCGACGTCACACGACGAGCAGCGGCGAGTGAGAGACAGTGGGCAACAATGCATGGACAAGACACAACAGCTGCAAACAACAACACTGAGAGCGAGATGCTGTCAACATCCATTATGTCAACGGGACGGTAATTCGAACGAGCCTGGGACAGAAATACATGAATGCATTAACAACAGCAAACCGTTGACTTGCAATCAGATGTCGTTCGGCCCCTTAAATCTGCATACAGGTACAGGTTCGAAAGTTTTCCCTAAAACAGGTTCTTAGTTCAGCTATTATGAGAGGAATCTGAAGTAGCCAATTCAGAATAAAAGATATTTACAAAAACCTCCATGTGAACAAATCTTGACTGTTGCTTGTACAATTATGATAATCATATTAATTTTATCACATACGAAAGCTAGAATAATGTGATATACCTCATACATTATCATACAACTCCAAAACACAAACAAGTTCATTCTTTTCTTTTTTTTGCTAGAGACCTTGATGCCATTGACACAGAGAGTCCCAGCCTCTCAGTGTAGTCTCAGAAACTCATAACGTGGCATTTTAGCGTAAGAGCTCGAGGAACGAGCTTTGCCACTCCCTGCTCTCGCTCGAGATGCCGCGAAACGTAAAGTTAGTGCCTGGAGAGGCAACACAATGGGGCGAAACGAAACGCTACAGAAGAATATAAACCAAGCAGCAGCAGGGAAGCTATCGTGAGGGAGATCGGTCATGAAGACGTCCAGGAGATGCAGGAGATGTCTCCTGGCGTTGAAAATGAGGTTCACATGGGGGGGGGAATAAAAACAGAGAAGCTATCAGGGAACCCAGCTTCAGCCTCATGTCAGCCTCGGTCCCTGTTGTGGGGCAGGGGCGACACGGGTTCCTAAAAAGCTCCACACGGGGCCCTCCCCCGTAAGCACGGGGACACTCTCCGGAGCTGGAGGGGTTAATCTCCGAACCGGTCACTCCGGCTCAGACGGCAACCTGAGGCCCCGCGTGTTTGTCTACGCGGCCCCAAGGAGCGGAACCGGCTGAGCGGCATTCGCCAGCAGGCCTCGCACCCCCACCTGCACTCCTCGGCAGGCCTGCCTTCAGCCAGGACGCTACCCTCGACAATAAAGACTTTATTAAAGCGTTAAATAACCAGAAATAACAGCAATGCACTGTTTCCACAGCTCCTGGGGACAGAGCAGGAGTTTAATTCAGCCTATACATTTTCATTGTGGATTTCTGTGTATTTTTTCTATTACTGTTATCATTTATTCTGCAGTTGCCCTGACTTGAATCAACACAGGGACCTCCCTTTTGTTAATACCACCGCGTCCTCGTACAAAGCCCGATTCAGCTTCATGCCGCAGGGTATACTTTAAAAACACATATAGAAGAAGATAATGCACACACTACATTAAGCTGCTGGTTGTGTCACCGCTAAATAAGTCCTCTACAAAGATCAGATACCTTGGAACATATAATGAAAACGCAAAATTAAGTATATTTCGAGGTAGTAGTTAGCCGTGCAACTCCTAAAATACAACCCGATTAGTTCCATGTGTTTATCGCGGCGCTGACCCCATGCATATAAAAGAGGTTCATTTGGCAAACTCGAAAACAGCATTCAATCACATTTGTTGCGTGCCGTCCTTTATTAAAGACTGCATGCAAGGATGGGGACTGCACGTTATGTTAATTTAATGTCCCATCGAAGAAGTCCCGCCTAAGCTTCAACAACATAACCCTGATGCTGTCACAAGATATTGTTACTATGCAAGCCTCATATAATGCATTATATTAAGGGCGCAATGGTAGATGTCTTCATCTTGAAAGTTAATTAAAAGTTTTAGCTTCCACGTTGTAATTCATTCGCAGGGATAAAACACCGTACTTTATAAATAAACGTCAAGGAAACTTAACTAAACTTAAGGTTCAGGGTCAACTCTAACCAAGTACAGCATCCCGCGATAAGAACAATATCATGATTAGTATTACCATTCTTAGTACTATCAGTGACAAAAATCCCTTCGATAACTTTGTTGAGCAGCTTGTAATAGCGATCGCCATGAGGAGCGCTCCTACATGAGAGAAGAGTCATCCTGGTCCGCCATTTAGAGAATAAAAGCGAAAAGCTGCTCGTGTTTAAGACTCTTGGCCCCCGCATGTCAGCTTGTACCAGCCAGCCAGTGCGCTGCATTACGGTAATAAAGTGCATATATTTGCACCGGCATCTCTGCACACCGACAATCTCTGCACTACTCCAGGGCAACATGCCAACTGGCATTACACGTGAAAAACACTCACTAACAACGAGTGAACCGTGATAATCAAGGCAAAAAATCAAGAATAGAAAAAAGATCGCGCGGAGACAAAATGTTTCAGGTACACCCCAAAGACGCATCATTAGTGATGCACTAACATGGGTTAGCAAGATTAGATCTTAAAAAATGCTATGCATTGGTGCATTCGTCTCTTTAATTTTTCAAACACATGCATTATGAAAATAAAGTTGTGTTCACAACGAAGACCTAAAGAGAAAACAGGCGAATTTACCTGATCGAGGTTTCCCGATGACCTCGTGATATCTTCATTGTCTGATTTGGATCCACCTTCCCTGTCATCTATAACCAAGTCGATTGGCATCTTGCCTTTCAAACAGCTGATATACCGGTGACAGAAATTGTCACAGAGTTCGTGTACCTATAGAGGACAAAATTACAATTATCACAAAAGAGCTCTATAAGAAGCTGACAAGCGCAACCAGACCGTTTGATGCGGGAGGGGGGACTTTTAAAATAGCCAGTGAGTTGCTTTTGCCATCTTGAATTTAAAATTACTGTTTTTCTTCCAAAAAATTGAGATATCTTATAAAATTGACAGTGACAAGACTACTCACGGGTTACAACATATTCAGCACCCGTGCTAAATTCACATGCTCCTGCGGATGTTACCATTAGGGGGAAGACCTGTTTGAGTGACATTTAAGGTAAACTGTTTAATTTCGTATTTATTTAATTACCAACCATTTCTCGTCGTCCAGACTATCACACGAAATGTACATACACGTTAATATTGCAGCATGCACCTTTGAGCAGATATGTCGAGGAAATTAAATCAAATTATGCTTCGCTTACTGAACCGCTATCACGTTACGGTAATGTCTTTATTCGAAATTTAGACCACAAGAACGACTATTATTTATAAAATAAAATGAAAATATACTATACAATGAATTGTGGATTATAACTATCTACCGCATATAAAGAAATTTATAGCGCAAATAACACACAATAGGTCTACTTTTAAATACTTTTTGACAATTATCAAGTCCATGAGAAGAAAAGAAACTATAAAAAGATAACAGAAGAGTACTTTATATTATTCTGTTTTAAGACCCTGAATTGTAATTAATCTGGAAAGAGAATGCACTAGGATTGGTTTTGACACTAATTACAATAGACCAGAAAAAATGATTTATGCAAATGTCCCGTATAGGTCACATTTGTAACACGTAAGTAAGTGAGGGAAAATTACCTTCTCCAACTCCAACAGATGGAACCGCAATACTTGGATTGCTTGAATCATCTAAGAAAAACACACTAACATTACATTCCTAATAAAACCAGCAATGAAGAAACGCCATATTTTGGCATATCATAAGAACACTTTGACTAAAGCATTTATTGATACTGTATGTATTTTTTTTACAATTTTAATAATCTTCATGGAATCTCGTGTGTCGCTAAAATTATTAATGAAGTTTTCATATTTTGTCAGTCACATCTTAAACAAACCCCGCTTCCTTCGAAACAAGATGCGGTTATTCGCCTAAATGTATTGCATATACAAAAATGGCTTGTTTATAATAATCCCGACGGCACAAGAATGTTTTCATGCACATTGTTTCAGCTGCACGTCGTGAATTAAACAGGATATTAAGACGCTTTTATACAGCGTATGAAGACAGTCATTTGAAGGTAATAAATAGTAAGTTGCCATGTTTGAATTGAGTTAGCTGGGTAAGTTAACTGGGGTAGCACTGAGATGTGGGACGTAAACAGGAGTCCTAACTGTTTGTATATACCTTATAACTTTTAAAGCGGAAAAGAAGCTGCTTAAAAAGACATCTGCCAGCTACGCAGCGACACACAGTTATATGTGGTGACACGATTTTTAAAATATCCATTTTGAAGTCGACTCCTCCAGTGGCGGTCGTGTACAAAACTTTTAAGAGTTGTTACACAGCCTTATGAAGTTCCATTTATAATTCATAAATTGACATTGAAATCAACTGAAATAACGGAAACTGCACTATATATATATATATATATATATATATATATATATATATACACACACACACACACACACACACACCATATACATACCAAATTGTCCAGTTCCGGATTTGATGAAAATAGGGGTTTTTCTGCTCGAATCTAGAACAAGATAATTTATAAAATATTTTACCATTTCAAAGATCCAACCTAAACAGCAAACTCTGAATAAAACCTCTCATTTCATTTTTGGCGTTAAACATATGTTGCATAATTCCATGAATCATTTAGTTTCCAATAAATTTAAAGCTAACATGGGCCCAAAACTAACTTAGACATCTCAGTTATTTTTAAACCATACAAACTACAGCGTTAAATGGCCACAGACAAGAAGAAAAAGCAAATTAGAAGCGCCGACCTTGTGTCGTTGTTCTTTTATTATTTACTTTTTTTGCTGTAAATATTCGTGTAAAAAGAAAATAGTCAGTAAATATAACGTTAAGCAATTTTGTGATTTTTCTAACCTGTTTAGCAAATACGGCTATATCTTCATTGAAAGACTCGGATGAGCACACGTCACCTCCCGCAACCCCGGGTTCTCGCGGTGTGCAAGTCGCTAATTCACATTTCTCAAAAATCAGTGCTAGCAGAGGGAAGAGAGGGTGCCTGCAAGAGAATATCATTGCAAACTTCAGTGAGCACACCAGGAAAAGTGCGAAAGTAAAATAGCAGGATCATTCCCATAGTGAGACACCAGACTAGCAATATAATTATCCAGCGTTTAATTATTTGCGTAAAACTAAAGCCAACTAGTAACTTCGTATAGGAGAAGCCATTTTGAGCAATAGCCTCTATCTGCTCTATATTCTATCCAACCGGATGAGATGAACCATTTTAAAACATATTATTACAACCTTTAATTTATAAAGACAATGCGACCATAATAAGTCGATTTCTTAACAGCTACATTTCATGTTTTAATTTTTTTTATTCAAGCTTGAGAGAATAACAGTATCATTAGAGAATGTATTGTAGGACACATATATTTACAATTAGAGCCCGTAACGATAATCCACACATTAAAGGTAATAAGCAATACAAATTGTGTACAAGGTTATTAAATTACACGTTTGGTACAGCACTCTACAGAGAAAAAGTTTCTTTTTTTTCTTTTTAAGAGTAAACTATTTTCTGGCCTTCTCTAGACAGAGTTTTCTTTTAACACTTACCAACTGTCTACAATACATTTGTTGTTTGCTCTGTTTTCAACGAGCAAACAACCTAAAATAATTTGATTCACACGGAAAAAACTTTACAAACTTTAATTCCAAAAAGCGCCTGAATTCATAAACTCTTAAATGCATAACTGGTGGACAGTGTTATAAAATATAGAAAATGACTGAACTGTAAACTATCTGATAAACATAAATGAAAAATGGGCCCGAAAGTTTTTTTTTTCTTGTATGACCCTGCTTCCGAGTTTTCATCTTTCTCTAAAACGCTATATAACCTTAATGACTCACTACGTTGTTTTTTTTTCCATTTTTATTAACTAACACACATCTGTTGTTCTGTGCGCCCCCTTTTTTGTCGCGGGAAAAAAGCAACCCGAAAAGACTGTCACTGAAACCTACCCGTAAATTGAATCTTTATCTCTTTTTAATGCATCGTTGACGGAAGGGCCCATACCGGGCGGTATGGCGTTGTGAGCAGTGTGCGGATACTGGTGCGCGTGCAGCGGGGGACCGTGATTCAGATGAACAGCCTGCATGGATCTGGCTGCGTGAGGATCCCCATACATCGTGCTGGCGATTCCTACGCCGTCCATACCATAATGGGATAAATCTTCATACTGTACAATGAAAATCAAATAAAAAATAATTACATGAAAATGTATTGCCAATACTATCATTTTATTCATTAATTTTATAATTTTACGTGGAATTAACGCCGACGTCACTCCCGGGACATAGTAAAGAGTCCATCACGCCATCAGTTTTTAACCCAAGCCCTCGTGGTTCGAAGGCTTGTTCCAAGAGCAAGACAAACATGCCAGTTTATTTGCTTTTCTGATGGACCCAATACTTTTACAAACAGAGAAGAAACCTTGTTTTCAATAATAAGACTGCAGGAAACAATAAATGATGCCAACTTATTAATATTTCTTTTAGCTAAACGAAGGAACGCAATGTACAATAAACACAAATTAAACAGAAGTGAAATCAAAGTTGAATGCAGTTGATTACGTTTTTAATGAAAATGTAAACTGATTAATCTCACAAGTTTGGATCCAACTGCAACTACATAAATATGCAAACAGCAATCACTTTTAACAAAAAGCATCACTCGTCTCTTTGCCATTACACCGAAGATTATTTTGTTAATGTTTGCAATTTAAAATTGTTTTTTTGTTTTAGATTTAATGAAAACCCCAGGGAGAGGGGAGTCGGCGCTGATATAGCCGTGTTGGATGTCCACGGACGGGCCCATATATCTAGAATTATATCTGAAAGCGAGGAGGAAATTACCCTGAAAGTGGCAAAAATAATTAACACGTTTATGCCATGAAACAGTGAAGGTGTCAAAGCCCTCTGCAGATCTTACGGCTTCGGTCTCACCTTCACGAGCACGCGATTTAAGTAAAGTTTTCATAGGTAACTAATTTGTCTTAAAATACCCATTAGCTTAATTTAAGGTCCAAATGGATTTAACATTTATTTATGTAACAAAAATAACATTAACTTTGTACTATAACTGCAGCATACTTATTGACGTAACCAATTATAAGTCGGTTGCACATGGAAAAAAATATTCAAAAATGATGTTCAGATCCTCGTTTGTGCTTTATGTGTACAAACGCAATACGATTTAGCATCAAAGGGTAATTTAGACACGGAGACTAAATTAATGAGCTGCAGCAAAAGCATCAGCAGATAAGAAAATTAAACTTAATTATACAAAGTCTGTCCGTGAATGTAAATATCAGCAGGATTTTCTTGAAAATTCGAAAATGTTTCTTCTACCTCAGTATAGTAAATCATCCGTTACTTTGGAAAGACCTATGGCTGTCTTGGTAAATACTTCTTGTAAACATGTTTACCAGGAGCGTTATAAGCAAATGAATTTATATGCACTGTCAAGTCCTCTTATTGAGACAGTGACACTATCAAACCCATCTAAACGTCCTAAAGAAGCCATACAAATTAGGCGGAAAAAAACTTTCGCTGTCCACGATGCCATCAGCCACGTTTCAATGCTGAAAAATGTTGAGTTGCTGAAACTTTTCAAATACGTACCCTTTGCGCCATTGGCCTTCCTCACTCCCTCTTCTTCCTTCAGATTAAAATATCTCCTATGAGGCCAGGGTGAAAGAAAATACAGCGCACACTCCAAATGCGATACTGAAAAATCCCTTTATGTTTCCCGCAGAAGGATGACGAAGCCGGACCTTCAGCGCAAGTTCAGCTCAAGGCGAAACATTCAGTACGGCGAGTATCTCCTCGGCTTTCTCCAGGACGGCAACAGTGCGCAGAGCAAATCTTCTTTTTCAAATCACTATGGAATTGATTCTCAAACAAAACTAGAGAGTTGCATGGCTTTTTGCCACTCCAGCTGTCAATCTTAAGCGAGGTTGTCAAAGTACTGAATGAATGATGATCCGCCGTGCGCTTCCTCTGGTCGGGACACCTTAAATGTTAATACACAGATACATACAAAAAAAAATCAAGCTCTCTCGTTTCTTTGATCACTGTCGGCTCCTGAGTAGATTTTTAATGCAACAGTCTCTCAATTAGATCAAGAAGAGGTGGGGTGATATTTCTGGCTTGCTCTTTTTTTCTTAAAGGAGCCACGATCGATGCTGCGAAGCGCCCGCCTGCGAGTAGAGACTGCCCGTGTGTGTATGTGTGTGTGTGTGTGTGTGTGTTGAACAGTGCGGAGAAGTGGATCTGAACCAGAATGCCAGAACCCGGAAGTAGTGGTGGCCATAACAGGTCGCGTCTTTCGCAAGGCAGTGGACTACATCAAGTGGCTCCTATCGGAGGGGGAGCGCAATCCGCCACGGAAGCTTGCGGAGCTGATGTTCATTTGCAGAAGAGACCGTGCTACTTTTGGAATGCCTTGTTTATCTGTTTTATCAACCCGCCTTTCTCACCTCCACTTTCAGATTTTTTACTATGTGTTACCCCCTTTGTGGTGTCGTTGGAAATGTGGGACGTGACCTCACGATTTTTTTTAATCCAAACTGACCACTGCTGTCTGTCCTTCTTCAAGTTCTTGAGATTGATGCTCTCCACATGGCTTAGGCACCGACATCGGACTATCAGTACAACGTGTGTAGCTTTACACTGACAGTTTTGTCACACTGAATTGAGTCTTGCACATTGCTTTCCCATTTAAGATATGCGTAATTGTTTAGCGCGTTATATTTGCTGCGTCTCGTTAAAAGCCGTATTATCTAAAACAATTACAAGTTGATTATATGCACAGGTCAGCTCGTTCTTAGTCGGCACACGACAAATGTAGCGAATTGGCTGTCTCACTATGTGGGTGATGGTCGTATATTTGTCAACTGCAATATCAGCTACTTCCAACTTATTCTCTTATGCGTTTATTCATCCATTGATGGGTCGTGGGTTGTATCCCGTTAAGATTTTAAAAAGTATTTCTACATTTCGTGTGCAATTATTACAACACAGTGACATTAAAACGTAATACTAGTTAAGCATCGCCGATGCAAGGTATCAATTTTCTTGAGCGCTTCGTCTTGGTACCCCCCTCAGAAATGCAGAATGAGCCGGTCCATGTCACGGCAGATTTCAGTAGTTGAGAGGCGGCGTCCAATCAAAACGCACCCCACTGAGGCAAATCTTTAATTGGGTAGAAAGATTATCAATTACAGAATCAAGCGATCGATGCATTTGTGTCCTGAGGTGAGGGGAGGCGTGTTGTTAAAACACGCATGTTGTGCCCAGCTGAAAGAGATCAACCTCTTGCCCTTCACAATATTATGAAGTACATTATTGGGGTTTTTTTGTACGACGGATAATACAATAGTCAAATAATTGTACTGTTTACCTATATATATATATATATATATATGTATACGTTTATAATTTAAACGTTCAATGCTGAATTTAACATGATTCCTATTTGAAAAGTTATTTTAAAAATTATTGTTCTAGAATTACTGGCAAAATTTAAGTAGATTAAATTTAGAATGTTTGGTTAAGCCAGTTTTCGGTGTTAACTATGTTACAAAGTCAGAAATTTGCCCACACAGTTCACCTACTTGATACTGCACAACATTAAGGCCTACTGTCAAAGACGAAAAAGAGCGCACAGATAATACAGCATAAGGCCATAAAAGATAAACCATCCATTCTGAGCTATTGTGTTGAACAGAGAATTTTTTTTGAGCGTCTGGTGCCTGTATTTGAGTCACAGGGAACGACCAGTGTGGCGTAGGCTGAATTATTTAATAAATGTTGCCTATTGCTATTAGTCTTTATTATAAGGTACGGTGGCTCTTCTGACACTTTATATTGATTTGTCCAATTTCGTGGTTGACGTGGCACTGTGGTATAACGTGCTATTTGTATATATTTAAATGACCATGTGACAAGGTGCATGAAGATTGTCTAGGAAGCATCTGTCATCGATCAGGACAGATTGGCGGAAGGAAAAATGTTGTATCAAACAGTATCGGTCTCACACGTTTAGCGATCCTCGCCGCAGAGGTGCAGTCCGGTCTTTCGTCTAAATTTACAGGCATGAAATTGGTATGAAGCCGCAAAGGAGGCTGATTTGCGGGGTAGATGGCGTCTAGCTCTGAATACTCACACCAACATTTGACCGTGAGCAGACGCTCGGCGGAAACTGTGGAAAAGGGGTCTACCCTTATTTGTATACAGATCTAGGAAGCTTGTATTACATGTTACAAGATTCGACATTAAAGTCTTCCGGGTGAGTAAACCAGTATTTTTTATCTCTATTTTTCACTCGCTCTGAGTTTCAGTATGTGTTTTATATCACATTAATTTTTAAAAGCCAGCATTGAGAAAATGAATGTTATGCATTTTTTTAGTAATGTAGCCTAATTGTAGTTTAGTAATGTAACTACTGTTTCTGTGATTCATCACTATAAAAATCACTTTGGTCTGCTGACTTAAATGGTGGCTTGAATTTCTAGGCCATTCGAAACAGTTTAGGATGCTGTTTTAACTTAGTCTCACATAGCACTGAATAACTAATATTATTATTGTTGTTGTTATTGTTATTATTATTGTTATTAAATGTGTTGTTTTGTTGTTAAACGTGAAATAACTAATGCCGTATAACTTGTCGCTTGACATTCGTGACAAAACTAATATGTAAGATTTCATATTCAAGTTAAAATGGGTTGTTGGTCAGACAGGGGGTAGATCTTGATAGATTTTATAGATTTTTATAGACTTTATTTTAAGATTTTTTCCCCCAAAATTATACATATTGCACTCTTCACAAACTTCGAACTCAAAAAAAAAAAAAACCCGAAGAAACAAATGAAAGCATTTCTAAGTAAATATCAGAATCACATTCGTATCAGAGTACTATATAATTTACTTTTTTACAACGAACCAAATTATTTAAAGAAGATTATTATTATCATTATTATTATTATCATTATTATTATTATCATTATTATTATTATTATTATTATTTGCTAAAATTCTTAAATAAATTGTTTCCCGTGAATATCCTTAGGTATCTATAGTTTTCTTTCTTTTTTGGTTTGTTCATATTAGAAACAAAAGGCGATGCAGTTCAAAAGTCAAATGGAGGTCGGCTTACACAGCTCCTCTGTAGTCGCCGATCAAACCTGTTGAAAAACGCGACGCCCGACCTCCAGTGAAATTCTGCATTGCGTTGATATAAGAAGTTACACCACGCATGCTATGCGGGTGAGTCGAACAGTGGAACCATTTAAAGCTTAATTATCTTTTTGCCCAGAATTTCTATATCATAAAATCGATGGTATGTCCAAATCCTGAACAGCAGTCTGCATTTGTCGTAATATTCAGTCATAAACATTTTGTGGCGAGGTTATCTTCTGTTAAAAAGAAAATTAAATGTCAATTAATATTGTTTTAAAAGTTTCTTAGTGTGTGCGTGTTTGTGTGTGACATTTGAAAAATTTTACTTCTCACATTAGGCAATGATTATGTTGTTGATAATTTTATGTATAAAATTATATTTTTGATCTTGTTTCTTCCCACGTTTTTAACACGCCGTTCACATAATTTATGCAAGGGCCAATAATTCATGTTATGGTTTTAGAAACATATATTTATTTAGTTATTCATCTATGCATTTAAATCTTAATATGAGAAAATGTTTATGCGAACTTTTACTTGTGAAGCTAACGGTCTCCTTAGCCATTTGCGCCGTCTACTGGTAACATCAAGAAAATGAAATATCTAGGAAAACTTATTCGAAAGCGAGCAAAGCGGAAACTTTTTGACAACAATCTTTAAAAACGCTTTTACAAATTATCGAAGGCGAAACATGAACTGACTCATTTAAGCATTTCTTGTCAATTTACGAAAACACGTTACCATTATCAATGCATGTCTTCTTCACCTTGTGACGTAAAATGGGATGAAAATGCAGTGAACGTGCCTAAGACTAAGCGGTTTTTAAAAAATATATGGCCTGAAATATTTAACTATTTTTTCAAGGATTAGATAGTGTTGGTCATAGAGATTTAATTAGGCAAATTGTGTTGTAAATAAATAATAAGTGAATTACTTATTTAGATGTAATGTGATATCTTCTTTTTCATTTCAGTGTTTCAGGTTAAACCTATATTTAAATATTTAAATATAACATGGTAATATTTAAAGAACGTATTAATATTAGATGCATCGTCACTTGCGACAACACCAACACGCAAGCACTGTCCAGTAGTACAGACTGATCTCACGGCAGACGCGCACTTGTCCCGGGAGATTAAATAACACGTGTATTGAAACATATAGACAAGGGTTAGAAAGTTAAAGTTTATTTATGAATATCTAGACATTAGTCTAACTAGATTAACTAAATTTCTATAGAAAAAAGCAATTTTATAAATCTAACATTATATTACAAATATCGGTAATTTATATTTGTTATTGCAATATGTGTAATTATTATTATTATTATTATTATTGTTATTATTATTATTATTATTATTATTATTATTACCTCTAGTATTACTACCACTACTAGCTACTACTACACTTTGCTGTGGAAGCACAACTGTAAATTAGTTTCTATCCGCTTGTTCTGTTATTTTCAGATTCGCATTTTTAACGGTGACATGGATCAAAAGTATATCGGATCGTTTTTTGTCACTTTATTAATTCAGCCCTAACCAGAAGTAAACTTGTTTTGCAGCGCTTAAACTTCGTCGATGGATCGATATTTTGCTCTCCTGATGCAACGGACGGAATTTGCTTCGTGTATGTACAGTATATCCGCCTTCTTTAAGTATATGTGCTGCAAGAAACGTAAAAATACTGATTTATGGAAAAATGCGCTGGTTTCTTCAAGAATGCATCGCTTTCCTCAAGAAAAACGCTTGATTAAAATTAAACGGTGTGTTATGGATTAAGCTATGAAGTTGTTCTGCATAAATGTATGTGCATATATGAAATATATTAAATAGGCCTATTAAAAACTTTTTTTGGAAAAAATACATACTTACAATTGTATTCGATGTTTGTTTCATTATTGTTCAACATATATTTATATTTGAGAACTTGTTAATACAGTTTGGACTCGTGAGTGGTCCCTCAGAAAAAAACCTTGAGAATGCATTATTTTTCCATGCTGAAAGTCTCGCCAGCGGTAATAAAGGCAGAATCTTTCAGTGCAGCTATTATTTCAGGTGCGCTAATGGGATCAGAGCAGCACAAAAAAAAAATTCATAGATTACTGCTATTCTATCTTCCTCCTACCTTTGTCATCTGTGGAGCGTAGCCAAGACCTGGAGGTGAAAAGAGAAGCTCAGTCAGGCACCCAGGCCAGCTGCTCTGGAACCTGGGTGTGTGTGTATGTGGGGGGAGGGGGGCGTTGATGTGGACTGCCCATCGCATGTGGGCCAGCCGTGAAGCACCGGGACGAGTCTCGCACCTCCCCAGAACACTGCGAATTGATCAGCACCTGAGAGGGCAGGCGTTGGGGGGGGGGGGGGCAGCCAAGGACAGAGGTGTGAAGAGCCAGGTTCTGTGAGACGGAGAGCAGAGGGCTCGTCTTCCAGTAAAATAGCATAGATGACCCATAATGAGCTCTTCTGCTTTTGGTCACAAGTGTCATCAGAGCCGATGGGTGACTGGAAATTCACTGTGGTGACTTCGATAAACAAAAATCCATCCAAGTATATAAATCTTCCAAGCCCATATAATCAAAATGTATAACCAAAAGAGTAATAATAATAGTATTTCTGTTGTTGTTGCTCTTGTACCATTGAAGTATGATGTATAGAATGCATGTAGACGACACAGATCCACTGAAATCATATATGTGTATTCATCACATAATGTAGGTTCATGTCATTGTCATGAAATAAGCCTAGATGTAGATGCAGACCCTCGGAGATATTCCTTGGCACCGGTTCCACTCTTCTGCTGAATCAGTCCATTTCCCACACTCCACCCGTTTAGCACGAGTGGGAATGCAGTCATGCGTTCCTGAGTTAGCGGCTAGCTCTAAAATCGGCCCCTTCGCACCTGCTCTCGCTAAAGGAGCGACGTTTAGGATCCAGCCCGGCTGCGTGTCCTTGTTGGCCATTTCCCGGGGGGGGGGGGAGGGATTGACCGCCCTCACAAGCTCCAAAGGCTCAGCCACAGTCTATAGATGACACACACATATAAAAGGCCTCTTAAGTCCTTAACTCCACTTAATTCACAGTTTTCATATATTGGACTGGCTATTTGAACTCTTTTCCTTTAGATATTAGATTTTAGACCATCTCACGCTGTTTGAAAGGATGAAATCTTCAGAACCCTTCCTCCCAAAGTTTAGTTTCATTAAAAGATCTAGGATTTAAAGTGCCACAAAAAGTGCCCTGCCTTCAATGGCGCAGGCGTCTCGCTCAGAAGAAGGCAGCTTTAAGTCGTGCACTGAGCTGGAACGTAGGTGGAATTCCTGCTAGCAAGCAGTAACCCCTGGGAAGCGGTGGATCAGCCCGCATCCGACTCAGCGATTGGCCTGCTGACCGCGGATCTCAGACGCAGAGCAACCGGCCTGGAGTCCGATGCGGAAATGAGGGACACCTCCTCTCTGCGCTTCCTAATGCATGAAGATCCAAAGAATATCCTAAAGCAATTTCTCGTTTTGCTTCCATTCATAATAAACCTCTTTTCTAAAAATCAGGCCTGGCAAGACAATCGAATCATAATATTCTCCAAAATATCTGCCTTATAACACTCTGAAATACATCTGGGCAAGTAGCTCTTGTGTTTGGTCGACAAACAACATCCGTTTGCATATGAAACATGCTAATTGCCTTTTATAACACCTGTCACGTGTTGCAGCCTCTGTACTGTGCATCCATGGGAATACTAAATTATCAAACTGTCTGTTTCGTATTCCCCCATATAGCTACAAGAAGCACAGGAGCCTGTATAAGGAGCCATCGATCCGTGTCCTTTTCATATCATTATTTTGTGAAACAATCCATGTTCATTGATTTATAGGCTGTTTGACAAAAGGTTAATTTGCAATTCCCGGTTCAATGATCTCCCATATTTGCATGTTAACAAGCTGTATATACTTTGGTTTTCGACTTGTAGACTTGGAATTTAAATCGATTGGAATGATGTCCCATCAACGTGGTCTGTATCTGCGGAAATGTATTGATAGCGGCCATATTGGCTTTATTAAAGGTGAGCTGCTATGCTATGCTGGACGGCAACGTTTTTATCACTTCCTGGGCGCTGAGGGCTGCCAATTTTCCCCAGAGACAAATGGCATCCTGACTTGCAGCCGCTACTGTAAGTATGTGCGACCCTAAGTGTGAGGGGGCGGGGGTGGGGAGGGTGAGACTGGCCATCATCCATTTGTGTCCCCCACCTCCACACACACAGACACACATGCCCCTCTGCTGTCGGCTCTGCGGCCCCCCCAGCCCCCGGGCCCGGGATTCCCCCACCTCGCTGGCGGGCTCCAGATTGACCATGGACACTAAAGGCCAACCATTAGGGCCCTGAAGGACCTCTGACATATTCCTTAGGATGGCAGCATCTTCATGCTGAGTCGCCTTTGTAGTGGAGTGGAGATGAATGCGATCTGAGACCCGATATGATATAGGGGATGAGCGCAGTCGCTGTGGAGAGACATAGAGGGACATGGGGCTCATGTGTGATTCGCCAACTGGGTGGAATCCAAGCTCAGAAAGAGAGTGGGGAGCGGATAAGTGTTTCACAGTGCGTCTGGAGCAACTCTTATCCAGCCAAGGGATCGTAATGAAAAGGACTCGCCGGACTGCCCTCAGATTGAGTCGTAGTTTCTGTGTAGAGGGTAGATCTGTCCTTGAAGTGCGTAACAGTCATGAGCAGATCTTTAAATCAAGGCTCTTTCATGGAGACATTGAGCAGTAACTCATGTGCAAAGAGTTGGCAAATACACTGAGAGTGGAAATGAACTTCAAAGGGTGTAATTCTTCTTTATGCTGATTCTGTGTGTGCATCCAGTGAAATAAAGGACATTAATCCTGCACAGTGCATCCTGCACATGAAATGTGTGCATATTGTTGTCTGTTAGCATAGTTGTGAATTATCAGTCCATCTATCTATCCCAGGGACGGATTACGGACTGGGCCAGCGGGGCCGCTGCCCAGGGGCCCTTGGGGTCCAGGGGGCCCGTGGGGCCCCTAGCCCAAAACAATTTGCAACGCTTATCAACAATGTATTTTCGTTTGTCTATTTTAGAGGGCCTACATTCTTTGATCCTCTGCCTACAAGGGCCCCTGACCCTATAGGGCCTCTGATGGAAACATGGAGGGAGGGCGTTTGGCTGCCAAGGGCCCTTGAATTGTGTCGCAAACATTTTGCCCAGGGGCCCGCACAACCCATAATCCGTCCCTGATCTATCCATATTTAGCTGTCCACCCAGTAGTGGGTCATAGAGGAAATATGAAAGAAATGCTTCTAAAGTGCTTTTAAAATGTTAGCAATGTGACCAAACTGCGTTGGCAGTGAAGTCACAAGATGTGTCCATTTACTGAGCCTCAGGTCAGGATCCATTCCATGCCAAAGACACTTTCCTGTGAACTGGATGGTAACAAGATTTATGTAGAATGACATTATTGCAAGCAGCTATTCCAATTACATAAATTATTGTACTTGTACAAGGGAATATTCTTTATTCTTTAATTTTAGCATTATTCTTACCTGGATATTCAACTCTGGATGTTGTGTAAACATTGGCAATGTTTGCTATATAAAACTTCATCTCATCAATTTTGGGAATCCTGAAGGATTCTTTACCTTTGTCATGAACACTACTGTTGCTGCGGCCGACAATGGCACAGCTGATCACGACGGACGTGGCAAATTATCATAGACCGTGTCATGCACCGCATGGGAAACCATGCACCAATATGGCGGCTAACAGCTTTTGCTTAGTGTGGATTTTACCGTGTGACATCATGCAAGAGCGTTTCATTATTGTTACTATTATTGCAATATGTATTATTATTATTATTATTACATTCAAACATTTACCTGTAAATAAAAGCTAATGAACCAGTGCAATATTTCCATATCACTGACCAAAAGCTAAGATCATGTGATGAGAGTGTGATCAGTCGCTTCCCGGGTGCAGTGCGTTACCGCCGATGAAGTCGGATGCGACAAAGCCTCCTGATGGATTTATTAATTCGGCCACATATCAATATGTGCGGCGGTGCCTTCCGCTGCGATCCGGGAGCTCGTTACTGAGAAGGATGGAGGCCAGCGTCGACAGCGTAATTATCACCGTGCGAGCATCTCCTCCGTTATCATTTTAAAAGTAGCATAAATCTTAAGGCCTGCGGGCTGATTTGCATATTTATTTATTTTAATATGAAAGCCGATTCGATACATTGTATTAGACTTAGGAGCCTTTGACAGACTTTGGTATTATTAGTTCAATCGTGCCTCATGTTAAGATTAGCCAGTGTCTACGTGCTGAGGGTGTGTCAGACATGGACGCTGACGGCACAGCTCTGCGTAGAAAGAGTAGCTATCGAATGTAGCCAGCAGACCCCCCCTTACCCCATTCTTATTGGCAAATTAACACATGGCTTTGATCCACATGCTAAAGTTAGCGCCCGGCATGACGTTAGGCGCTGGAGGTTTTGTTTGCTATGTGCGGTTAGTCATGCTGGGGGGGGAGGGACCTTACAAACACAGAGCATATTTTCTAAACACAGCTTGAGTGAAGTAAAAGAAATGAAATACAATAACGGAGTTTAAAAATTGACTGACTCTTGCTGCATCGAAAGCACCCTGCTCTATCTGCCTTACTGCTGCAACGGTAATTGTGCACATTCTGGTTGGGATTCGGTTCAGGCTAAATATGCTTGAGTGCCACCGAAATGTTTCCTTTGCGCCCAGTCAGAAACAGAACTGCGGGGGGAAAGTGAGAGGAGGCAGGGCAGAGGGATAGGGACGGGACAGGCGGGGCAGAGAAATCGCCTGGGGGCCGCAGCAACAGCAAAT